CGAGCCATTGTCAGTGATGATTCTGCTCGGCACACCATACCGGCATATAAGATTGTTTTTGATGAAACGCACAACCACCTGTTTGGTAACATTGGCATATGAAGTAGCCTCTACCCATTTTCTAAAGTAGTCAATTGCTACCAAGATAAAACGGTGTCCATTCGAAGCTTTAGGTTCTATCATCCCGATCATGTCAATACACCACATAGAGAAAGGCCATGGGGAGGAAATCACATTGAGCAGTGTCGGAGGTACATGGATCTTATCTGCGTAAATCTGGCATTTTTGGCACTTCTTTGCAAACTTGTAACAATAAGATTCCATTGCCAACCAATAATATCCTGCCCTTAGAATCCTTTTAGCCATTGAATGTCCATTAGCATGAGTGCCGAATGAACCTTCATGGATCTCATGCATCAACATGTCTGCTTCGTGTCTATCCACGCATCTGAGCAAGACCATGTCAAAATTCCTCTTGTATAACACATTTTTGCTGAGGAAGAAACTGCCTGCCAACCTTCTCAGTGTCTTTCTATCTTTCTTTGACGCACCAAATGAGTATTCTTGAGTCTGAAGAAAATGCTTGATATCATAATACCATGTTTTCTCATCTGCTACCTCCTCTATCGTAAACACGTGAGCGGGCCTATCGAGCCGTCGAATTGTAATTCGGGGTATATCATTCCAAGTATTCACTTGGTACATGGAGGCCAGAGTTGCCAGAGCATCCGCCATCTGATTTTCATCCCTAGGAATGTGATGGAATTCAACTTTATTGAAGAAGGGTAATAATATTTTAGCATAATCTTTGTAAGGGATCAAGCCAGGGTGACGAGTATCCCATTCTCCTTTAATCTAATTTATTACCAATGCTGAATCGCCATATACATCTAGAATTTTGATTCTGAGATCAATAGCTTCTTCGAGACCCATGGTGCAAGACTCATATTCTTCCATATTATTAGTGCAATCAAATGTTAACCTCGCAGTAAAAGGAATATGCGATCCATGAGGAGTAATAATCACAACACCAATTCCTTTACCATAAGCATTCACAGCTCCATCAAATACCACACTCCAATGAGATTCAGGGTCGGGGCCCTCCTCGGGAAATGGTTCGTCACAATCTTTCACTTTCAAGAACATCATATCTTCATCGGGGAATTCATATTCTGCAAACTGATGATCTTCCACCGGCTGGTGAGCAAGGTAATCTGCCAACACACTACTTTTGATAGCTTTTTGAGTGCGGTACTCAATATCGTATTCAGACAACAACATCTGCCAACGGGAAATTCTCCCAGTAAGAGCAGGCATTTCAAAAATATACTTGATTGGATCCATTTTGGAGATCAACCAAGTGGTATGATTCAACATATACTGCCGCAAACGCTTTACCGCTCAGGCCAAAGCACAACATGTTTTTTCTAGCATATAATACCGCGACTCACAATCAATGAGCTTTTTGCTGAGATAATAAATGGCGAACTCTTTCTTTCCCGTTTCATCCTGTTGTCCCAGAATACAACCCATGGATTTATCCAACACAGTTAGATACATAATTAACGGTCTTCCTTCTACGAGAGGGAGAAAAATAGGAGGTTCAAGCAGATACTCTTTAATACTTTCAAATGCCTTTTGGCAGTCATCCGTCCACACACAACCTTGATCTTTCTTCAACAACTTAAAGATCGGTTCACACGTTGCAGTCATGTGGGAAATAAATCTGGAGATATAATTCAAACGCTCAAGGAAACCCCTGACTTGCTTTTTAGTTCTTGGTGCTGGAATTTCTTGAATTGCTTTGACTTTGTCCGGGTCAACTTCAATTCCTTTCTGGATAACAATAAAACCCAATAATTTCCCCAATCTAACTCTGAAAGTTCATTTATTTGGATTCAAGCGGAGACGATATTTCCTCAAACGCTGAAACAACTTCAACAAATCTTCTATATGCCCTTCTTCAGTTTGGGATTTGGAAATCATATCATCAACATATACTTCTATTTCTTTTTGCATCCGATCATGGAATATGGTTGTCATAGCCCTTTGGTACGTTGCACCAGTGTTCTTCAACCCGAAGGGAATCACTCTGTAACAGAATGTTCCCTAGGGTGTGATAAACGTTGTTTTTTCCATGTCCTCTGGAGCCATTCTTATTTGATTATACCCGGAAAATCCGTCCATGAACGAGAATACCTTGAATTTTGTTGTGCTATCAACTAACATATCAATGTGTGGCAATGGAAAATCATCTTTTGGACTAGCTTTATTTAGATCTCTGTAATCTACGCACATGCAGACTTTTCCGTCTTTTTTCGGTATTGGGACAATATTGGAAATCCATTGAGGATACACTGATGTCACAAGAAAACCAGCATTAATCTGCTTTAGGACCTCCTCTTTGATCTTTACTGCCATATTTGGGTGGGTTCTTCTCAACTTTTGTTTAACTGGAGGACACTCTGGCTTCAACGGCAAACGATGCTCGACAATGTCTGTATCTAGACCAGGCATATCTTGATAATGTAGCGGTGAAAATCGGAGATCGAGCTATTAATTAACTCGACTCACAAAAGCAAGAGTCGCCACCGCGCTTTATTATTTCCAAGGGAAAAGGGAAAAGAGCGAAATAAAACCCTAAAATATGCAATGTAAAATAATACTTAAAAGTAATAAAAATACAATGCGTTTTTGAAAGAGATCGTGAGTTTGGGGGTTGGTTATACAATGGGAAGGTATTAGCACCCAATGCATCTGCGGTACTCCGCAGGAACCTTTTTGAAATATCTGTTTTTTGTTAAAATTGTTCGTTTGATTAAAATGGTTCGTTTGGCTAAAAATCTGTGTTGGAGAGATTTTGAAGATACGACGACCTAGTGTCGAAGTTTTGACTTAAAAGGTGTGAGTTTGAAATTTGAATCTTTTAGGAAAATTATCTTGAGTTTAGCAAAATAGTAAACAAACAAAAGAAATGAAAAAAAGTATTCGCACGATCGGATGAGATGTATTTGATGACGTGAAGTCAACTGAGTTGAATCATTTCCCTTGGAATAAATTGAGCGAGAAAGATAAAATAGACATCAAAACATAAGCAATCAAAACTCACAAGAAAATAAATATAACGAAACAGATTAATGACCTAAAGGCATCGAGAAATTAAAATGACAAAGATATTTAAATAAAATAAAAGAGAATGTAACTAATTGTCTAAAGAAGTTATTTAAACTAAATTAAAAAAATTAAGATTACTTACTAAAAAATTCTAAACTAACTACAAATTCTAAGATTGCAAAAATAGTTCTAAAATTACTAAATTAGATCTAAGCTAAATTAAAAAATTTAAAATTAATAAATTAAATCTAAACTAAATAAAAATTCTAAGGTTGCTAATCTAAAACAAAAAGAGTTCCAAAGCTACTAAACTAAATCTAAATCACATAAAATTCTAAAAGAAAATTAAACTAATTCTAAACAACTAAAATTCTAAACTTATTAAACTAATTCTAAATCAAATAAAAATTATAAACTCATTAAACTAATTCTAAATCAAATAAAGTTCTAAAGTCCCTAGACTAAAACTAACAACTAAAATTCTAAAGTTAACTTAAATAAAATCAAATAAAATTCTAAAGTTTACTAAATTAAAAATAAATTCTAAAATTTACTAAGTCAAATCTAAATGAAATAAAATCCTAAAGTTACTAAAATAAAACTAAACAAAATAAAATTCTAAAGTTTACTAAGTCAAAACTAAAACAAATAAAATTCTAAAGTTTACTAAGTCAAAACTAAAACAAATAAAATTCTAAAATTTACTAAGTCAAAACTAAAACAAATAAATTCTAAAATTTATTAAGTCAAACCTAAATGAAATAAAATCCTAAAGTTACTAAAATAAAACTTAACTTAAGATTACTAAAATAATTCTAAACTAAATAATATTGTAAAAATTGCTAAATTAATTATAAATTAAATTTAAAATTCTAAAGTTAATTAAATAAACTAAATGAAAATTCTATAATTAGTAACTAAACTAGATAAAGATTAAAACTCAAATGATAACCAAATTAAATTAAACTAAATAATAAAGCTAAAAAAAACAAATATTATTATAAGAAATTGAAACTAATTAAAAAAATCTAAATTAATACTAAACTAAATCTAAATATAAGATTTACTAATATTTTTTATATTTTTGTATGAATTTTAAATGAAATAAGGCTAAAAATAAAAAAGAAAGACTTAAAACTAAAAAATTAAGAACCAGGGGTTGAACTCAGGTTCCTATAATTATATCTATTCTGCCTTGCCACTAAGACAATGATGTTTTTCTGTTATGCACTCTCTAAAACAAGGAAAAGAAGGTAAAACATTCGGGTTGGACTCTAAAACTTAGGCCCAAACCCGGATCCACTAGAGAAAGAAAAGGGAGGGTTCCGAAACCCTTGTACAAGGAAAGAGGAGCCGCTGGCTTTGGGAAATGGAAAAAGTCACCATTAATTTTTAATTCCCAATAAATAATTCAATTAACCCTGACGTTATTTTCTTCTCTCACGTGAAAATGGTCTCAGACTCAACTTTCTTCTAAACCGTGAAAACTTCATGTCTCTCACGATTATTTCCTCTACTCAAAAGAAATTATGCCCCCATAACTCTCTATCGTATCAGAATAACAACGACAAAGGATTTGCTCAGCTTTTTCGCTTATCCACGATCACATCAGTATCAAGAATACATGAAAAAAAAGGCAAGAAAACTTACAACCTAGAGATAATCCGCTGATTTTCGATTCTGATAAAGTTCAAAGGTATGTCGCCTCTTTCAGTCTCTACTTTCGTTAATCCTTCTTCTCCTTTTCTTCTCTGTGAAATCTTCTTGCTGAGAACTTATTAGTTGCAAGTGTGGGTGAGTTTAGGCAATGGTGAATATGTCGAATGGTGAATGTGTTTCGGGACATTTGAAGATGGTTGTCATAATTTATTTAGTGAATCTGAAACATGGTGAGTAGATGTTGTTTCGATGTGGCTGAGTTTAAACGGTAAGAGGCAGGAGGTAATGTGGTGATGGGTAGAGAAAAGGAAATAAGGATTTGGTCATTGTAAGCGGAGAAGATTGAAGGTAAAGGGTGAATCAGATAACAGAAGTGAAGTGGTAATGGAATTTGCAGAATTATTGATGAAGATTAGATAGAGGTCACTGATGGTGGTTCGGTGATGATGTTACGGTGATGGGTCGAAAAATCGATGAAGGAAGAAGGCTTTGGTTAGGTCGAGGCCATCTGGGCCTAGTGAACCGGAACTGCTTTTGTGCATGATGAAGTGTGGTTAGAGAAAGAGGTGGAGAATGATGTTTGAGAAGTTGAACTATTGAGGGGTATCATTAATGTGGTTTTTTTTTTTAAAACAGCAAGTGGAATATGCCAAACGCTTGGAACATCACAGGGAGTGAGTTTATGCTGTGAGCTGTGAGGGTGGTTTGAAGATTGGGTTTGGGATGTAAGGGGGTTGCTTACAGTGGAAATTGGGATGTGTTAGTATGCTGTTGCAGTTCGCATGGAGAGGTTTGGGATTGCTAGCGGAAATGGAAGTAACAGGTGGGTTGTGTGTTCCCGAAACTGGACAGTAGGTGGGTAAGGGATTGAAGGGTGGAAGTTGATGAAAGTGTGGAAGGGTCACGGAGGCGGAGGGTGAAGTGATGTTACGTTGTTGTGAGAGGGTGTTGTTGTATTCTTTGTTGTTTTTTTTACTACTATTGCAGGAATTAGGTGATAAACCCCCCTCAACTCTTCACCATTTGCTTTTGTTTTTATTGTGAGTGTATGATAGAATTGGAGGGAAAATTGGAGCCAAATATCAGTTGAATTCTGGTTTATGTCAACTTCCTTGTGCTTTCTTGATGCAGGGATTTGTGATTTCATTTTGGGCAAGCTTTTTGGACAGCAAAGGTAGTAAAAAGGTTGTTTGCAGACTGGTTTTTATGCAGGTTTTGGAGTGAAGTAGCAGCAAGTTTTGTTGTGTAGCATGTTTGGGTTTTATGGACAGTTAGGATAGGGACAATAGCATGGTTTTGGACTAATTTTATTGTTTGGACATTTTTTACAAGGAGAGGAATAGCATAATAATAACAATAATAATAACATAAAAAATAAAAAATATTAAACTAAAAATTTCCAAAAACATGAAAATTAAAGAGAAATTAAAATTAATTTTAATTTTAATAATAACTCAACTAAAAAGTTGAATTAAAATTAGAACCAAATCAAGATTAATATTGAAAGAAAGAAAATGAAAATTATAATAACTAAAAGAATTAAAAGGAAAAGATATTAACTATATATTTTTGTGATTAAAGTGAAATGCTAAAATAAAATAATGCAAAGACATTTTTTTTTGTTGAGATTTTTACTAAATTAAATCTAGAAGACTATAATTTTGACTTAAGAATAAAAATCTAAATGAAACTTGAAGAGACTACTTTTTTTTGATATTTTGAATAATAATGTAAATAAAATTAAGATGACATGAACTAAATATATTTTTTTTATGATTTTTCATGGAATTAAAAATAAGAGAAGAGAAAGTGTAAAATTTATGGTCGGATAAAACATAATCCAAAATTAAGAATCAAATTCCATTAAATTCGTGAAACAACTTCGAACGTTAATAATTTTTCGTGGCTTTTCAATGCATAATCATCTCTTGTCTTGTAAAGAAAAATTGTAGATGGTGTCAAGAAAAATCATATGCAAAAAATAACCCCTCAAAATATTGAAACTTGAAGAAGTTATGAATTTTTGAAATCTGACTCGGGAATTGGCAAAAATAGGTCGAATCGCCTGTGAACACTTGCTATGTAATGATGCGGATGGAATGCGGGATCTTAGGTCAAAAATTAGGGTATGACAGATAAGACCAAGAAAAAATATCCACATATTCTTTCAATAACTCAATCAACCCGCTTTTTACATCAGGATGCAACGATGCTCCAATCTTGACTTCCTTCAGATCTTCCTCTAAACCCAAATTAACCACTTCCAAAGGCTCTTTGTATGGTTGAATGGTATTTTCCTCATGCTCAAGCAACCGTGAGACCTCTTCTGGAATCTCATCATAATCTTCTTCTTCAGCCCCAAACACAGGACACTCAAAGTTGGGAGAGGGTGCAGGGTCATTGTATTCAACGTGTTTTTTAATTAATATGCACATATGATTTGTGATTGCTTTTAGAAACTGACACATATAACAAATGATCATGCAGATTAATTTTCAGTTATTATTTATTTTGAAAGGTTTTTATTTATTTATTTATTTTTCTTACCAATTTCCAAGAAAAAGGCAGAAAATAAAAGACATAATTTGGAAGTAAAGACAACTTTTATTAATGATCTTAACAGTTATAGCAAACTGATAAGCCCTACAACATTAATACTTCCACCTTGGGCAGAGTGAAAGCTTTTCAAAAGAAAGAAACATATTAACAAAACAAATTACTTTGAAACATGTATGCAAGAAGGAATATCAATGGTGACCCATTTTTGAACTCGGACTCGATGCGTCACATAATTCGACACTTCCTGCTCCGCTTCATCCTCTTCAACAACATTAATTCCATACCCAATCAGATGGAGATAGCCTCCGCTGAAGAAAACATCATGATAATTGTTCACAGAAGACTTTGACTCCAAACCTTCGCCTTTGCCACTCCTTGAAGAGAAACCCAAACCAGCTCTATTTTTGTTCACAGGTGGATCCACAAGTCGTCCCCAAACTGCATGATGACCATTGCGCACCACCTACTGCGCATCCTTCAGGGAAACCACAAAATTCTCATTCTTACTTATGTTTTCAATGGATAGGGCTTGGAACTGGGTTCCAATAGCAGCCTCATCTGCTACTACAATACTAAAAGAGGATAAATCGGATATCAATAATGCCTGCTCCCCATTTATGATTGTTGCACCCCAAAATTTGCCCTCCTAATTTCTTTTATTTTGGCTTAAACTTTTGCATTCATCTACATCTATTCCATTAAGTCACTAACATGGCATACATTTCATTCAATATAGCTCTGAGGTTCAAAGTTCAATGGTTGTGAGATATTAGGGTTTCACAACAGTTAAGGCGTTCGTATCCAATAAAGACTGATTTCTTATTCAGGTAGTGAGCAGTGGAATTAGGGTTATGACTTGGGTCGTTGAGGAGTTCTTTCTTCATCAAGCCGCGAGGCTATCAGGGTTTATTTCCCCATATGTGATCAAAGCCAGGTTTTTGGCAATTGTGTTCCAATCGAGTTTTTCGTCAAATATCATGAGATTAAGGTTTGTTCTTATCAAGGGACTTTCTCAGAAAGCTTTATATTGTGCGTCACGAATTATCATCTTCAAAGGAATTATTAAGGATTTTAGACTTACGTTTTCAAGTGGACATGTTTGTGACGTGAATTACAAAAGGCGAAGCACAATATAAGATATGACGAGGGAGAGTGCTAATTGAGTTAGACAAACATGAATAAAGGCCTTGATTTTGGGCAATTGCAATATGGAGAGGTTGTCGTCTGGACTGAGTTCATGCATAAATATTATTGATTCGATTGAATGTTATGACATGTCTTGAGTCCAGGACTAGTTCATTGAATATGCAAGTTGGTTGGAATCCGTTCACCGAGTCATGAAGTGAAGTGCTTAAAGGATAATCAAATGGTACTAGAGAAGTCGAAGCATTGGTTTATTTTCGAGAATTCGATTCAAGCGAGTTCGGAGACCTTAATCATAAGGGTTTCTTGGAATGCAAAAATATAAGATACAAATGGAAAGTCATAGTCGTTCATTATAATTCCATTCAAGTGGATCAATATTTTTGCAAGATTCATTCATAATGCAAAATATCATTCAAGATTCATTCGAGGTAAACCAAGGAATTGCGAATTAAAAGGCCAAGAAATTTTTGGGTGCATTGATATGGCCATATTGCACAAAGTTTTTATTTGGTGATTGAGTTAAGCCTACATATCATTATGTTTATCTTTGTTAAAGGTTTGATTTTCGACTATTCAAAAACCATTACAAAGATTCCAATGGCCATTACAAGTTCTGTCCAAATATCCATTCAAGCCTCAAAGTTCACATTTAAAGTTCATATGGATGGCATTCAAAGTACATAGCATCATTACAAGGAATTACAGAAAACATTTTCATTCAAAAGTCACTTCATGCGAAACTCCAAATTCCAAACAGATCTAAGGCAGAACTAGTGCAAACTGCAGATTCATCTCAAAAACTACACATTCATCATTTTTCTGCAACTGATTCTTCAAGAGAGCAATATCGGCTTCATAAACCAGATCCCAAAACAGTTCTGTTCGACAATAGAATCGGGCTACTACAGGAATCAGCCCTGCACTGGTTAAGTGAATCCGAGACTGAAGAAAAAGCCATAAAAAGGGTCCAAGTACAGATTGCGCTGCATAATGAAATTAGAAGAAAACATCAGAATAGAAAATCAGAAAATAATGGGAAGAGAGCAGTAAGTCAGAATTGCCATCTCATTTCAAGGCCACATAACTGAATTTCAGTTTCAAAAAAAAATTAACAAACTTCAACAGAAAATCCCAATTGTTTTAACAATCCACAACAGAATTTTCTAAACAGAATTCTGTAACCAATCCTAACCAATTACCAAACCAACCTAACAGAATTGCAATATAAGAGAGGAGAAGAGAGAAAACATAAATTCTGACCTGAAGATTTTCATTCAAAAAAAAAATTCCCTGAAGAATCACAGAACAAAGGCTCTCCTCTCCTCTCATCTTCGCCTTCATTCTTCAATAATCCTGAAGAATCACCACAAAACTCTCTGACTGAAATTCTCCAAACTTCTCTCTGCAATCTTCTCCATCCCACTCTCCATAACCAGATCTTCATCATCACCAATCATCAATCTCCCAGAATCGCTTCATTGATTCTTCAACCTTCATCTGCAACAAACGATAACATCTTCATCATTGCAAGATCTTCTGCAAATGCAACCTTCTTCATACATCTTCATTCTTGATACATCTCTCAAATTCTTCATCGCTCTGAATTCACACAATATCACCAAAAAAATTCAGAACTATCAACAACAACCATCTCATAAACGCACAACCATTCACGTTCGGAAGAAGAAACAAAAAATAAAATATCTCAAGAACGTACCTATGTTTGTGGCTCCGCTTTGTTCATATTCATCATCGAAGATGCGATTCCGCTGGTGTTCTCATTATGCTCTGGACGTGAGATCGTAGAGTAGTATAAGAGGAAATAAAGCCCTAACAAGCCATGGCTTGAATCTGTCGCAGATGATTCGGAGAAGAGGAATACGGTGAAGAATCTACTTCGAGATTTCCCGTCGTCGTCGGCATCTCTGTTGAAAAATCTCTGAACTCGTATCCGGTAGACAATCTTCTTCTATCTCCTTGGTTAGCATGTGGTGTATGTTGTTTGTTCGAAAACCTCGATTAAGAACGCCAGAGGATAACAACGACGACAGATTGGAGTTCATCAAAGAAGAGAAGAGGCACGTATTCGAAGAGATGAGGCCGGGGATGAAGTTTTGTTCAAAGCAAAGGTGAGGTCAAACAAAGAAGTCAGCAAAGTCGCAAGGGCGAAGGTTGAGTGCCTCCGCTGAAATTTGAGGGAGACGTTTCGTTGTTGATGCTGAATGCGAGAGCCATGGATGCTAGCGATCGGAGACGTGGAAGATCGAGGAATTGAGTCTTCCGCCGCTGCCGAGTTGTCTGAAGAAGAGGATGAGGTTGAGTTTGTCGGCGCCGTCGAAGGGAACAAAGAGGAGGGAGTTTGTTATGAATGGTGAAGAAGCCAAATCCCTAGTTCCTCTTTATTTTTTTTCTATTTAATTTCTTTGTTGTTATTATTGATAAAAACAAAATATATAAACGTTAATAATACAAT